CGATGTGCGAACTCCGCCTCGGGGTACGGTCATTTTTCCGCCCTGACACGTGGTCCGTGGCCATTTTTCTGCCCCCGACACGTGGTCCGCAGCTGTTTTCCCGCCGCGCCGCGTGGCGCCTGGCTGTTCTCCCGGCGCGCCGCGCCACACCCGGCTGTTCTCCCTAAATTTTTTGCCCCACTGTATGTAATTTACCCCTAAGCAATTATCAGTATACAGAGATAACATGAAGGATAATCATGCTTCCACGCCCGGCCATTCTCCTGCCACGCTGTGCCGTGCCCGGCCGTTCTCCCGCCGCGCCGCGCCCGGCCATTCTCCCGCTCCTGATGCGTGGTCCGCAGACACCAGAACAGATTAACGGTAATTACATTGAACCTTATGGGAAAATTTGCTTCGGTGCGCGATCAAATTCGGAGGGCAGAACGGATTAACCGGATTTACATTGAACCCTATGGGGAAATTTGCGTCGGGTTACGACCAACTCGGGATACCCCCAGAGTCACGGAACACATTAAGTTCGTATCCTGAGGTACCACTGTATTTGTTAAATCCATTTTTTCAATTTTTAATAGGTGCTGCTAAAGCCTATCCAACTTACAGAACATTATCTTATACCTCTTGGTTGACAGCAAATCCAATGCTAACAGCTACAGTTGGAAACCTGTGTAAATAAATACATTATATTTGTTAATAAACTTTCTGAACAATGACTTTCCATATATCAACAATGTGATAGCATTGGTTCATTGGTTCCCAGGTAACAAATGCTATGTTTTTTGTATATTAAGAAATTAAATTCTTAATTTTCATATAATTTTAACTGTCGGAAAATTGAGTTGAATCCTGATACTAAAGGCTAATTTTGTGACAATTCCATTGAAGCATAAAGCATGATTAATTATCTGATTCTCAGAAAGTTCTCCATTCTTTAAATCTTCGGAATCTATCCAAGCAATTAGTTGTTGTTTCTGTTCCCTGCTGCCTTCATAGAACATTGTTATACCAGGAATAGGCTAAGGCAGAAAGAATGGCAGCTGTTTTTCCAAACTAAATGTTAGAGTTCAAAAGTCATTTACTAAAAACTTCTGCCACCTTATAACTTGAGAACATAAATATTATTTTTTCCTCCCATAACTTTCAGCCCAATTTCCCAAATTATTTCAGTATACAACATTGGGTAAGAAGTAGGCCTTCTATGTTAAATGATTAATAACTGATACATTCCATTATGAAGTATTTCAGGAACTAAAGTAAGATTGCAAACGGATGAAAATTCTCTACAAAGGGAAATATGGTTCAAGATGATCAAGATTATGACAATTTAAGGCTCACAGACTAATTTGTTAAAAGAACAGCAACTAAAATTACTCAAATAAGTTACAGTAAATGGATGATTTGATTATTTTTCTTCGATAGTAATGTAAATATTAAAGCTATGCTATTAAAATATTCTTAATATGCATAGATTTTAAAAATAAACTTGTTATAGTCCTGTGCACAGATTTGCTTGGCGCAAAACATGCATAGGATGGGTTGCAAGCTCTGAAAGTACAGCGGAACCTCGGTTTACGAACTTAATTCGTTCCATGACTCTGGTCGCGACCCGAATTGGTCGTGACCCGAAGCAAATTTTCCCATAAGGTTCAATGTAATTACCGTTAATCCG